GCAGGAATGGCAGTGAAAATTATCAATGCTGGTGGTAATACCATTCTTATCAAATCAGCAGCACATCCTTAATAAAAATCACACTCTGATCTCGATGTGCTGCCACAGTGTTAATAACAATATTCCTGTTTCTTTTGCCATAAAATCCCTGTCCTCAATCTGCATGTGTTTGTGCACATTCTGCATTTCAACAGGCACTAGGGAAAAAAAAAAAAAAAAGAGTATACCAGCCTAGATTAAATGAATGAGCTGAAAAAGTGAATAAGATGTTTATAGTTTAAGCAAATAAGATAATTAAAACCTCTGCTAGAGTATACCTGCATTAATAATGATAAAAGGATGCTGATTTACACCACCGCAGAATATAGCCCTTACATACTTTGATTGTAAAGCCTTATATTACAGTCAATTAATTTTGAGGTGGTATGACACAGTAGGGTAAAGACCATGAATAATACTGTGTGGGGGTATTATTTCTAGGAGTTTAAAAAAGTATTTTACAGTTGATATAACCCATAGCTAATAAATATGTTAATTAAGTAAGTGGATCCTCAAAAGTATTTGTATAAGCCCCAGGGTTAATACATATCAAGCAGAGATGATTAAGCAGTGTCCAGAGACAATTGTTTTCCATCAGAGGCAAGGAAGTTGTCTTGATCCTTCCTACCGTTTTGACAATGTTCTCCAGCAAAACCCCTTTGAGCCTCTTTGGTTGTTTAAATATGGTGATTCTTGTCTCTCTCGTACTTGTCTTGCTCTCGGAGATGCAGCCAGTCGAGTGGAAAGCCCTGTGCAGTCATTTGGGCACTCCAGCTCACATAGTCATCTTTATAATTGCATTTTTTGAAGCATTATTATTTTTTCGCCTGGTTTTGTAAGGGTAAAAGGCTTATGTGACCACCGTGTCAGGGCAGTTCTAATACCTTGAGGAACTCCTGTCTGATTTCAGCCAAATTTAACATGGGGTAAAAGCTAAAGGGCAGGCCATTGCTTCAAGTCTTGTGCAAATAAGTGGGTAGATAAGGGAGAGAGACCCAAATTAATGACTCTGTAGAGAGAGAGTGGGCTCAACAGTTGCCTGCTATATTTGGATTGCAAGATGGGCTTTTAGCCCACCCAGACAGGTGGGTAGCACACCCAGAACTATGGTGTTTTACAAGACACGTGGATGCAAGACACAAGTCTATAGGAAGACGATTCAGTGGTCTGCTTCTCTTGGCTGCCCCATTTATGTATAAGACAATTTTCATTTTAAAAACACATGCATTCTGGGAATTTTTAAGAAGACTGGATCAAAAAAAGAGGAACAAAACAGATATCAGTGTTCTTAACAGCACTATTTCTGTTGTTGCAGCTGTCATCAATAGCAGGTTATTAATAAATGGGAACATCTTTGATTGTGACCTCCCTAGATCCGCTACTCCTGGATATGTTGCCCTGCAGCAAAGGCCGTTCTCCCTGCCTGTCAGCTTTCCCCATGTCATCTTCCTCCTTGCAAGCTTATCTTGCTTCTTCCCTTTACCACGTCAAGTTGTTTGACTTCACTCTCAAGACCCTTTGCAACCTCTCCTCACTTTCTATGTCAGCTGTGGTTTCATAATCGCTTTCTCCCAAGCCAAGTGTGGGCTACCACTAGACAGGGTGGGCTTGTGCTCACCTAGCTGCATGTTGCCCCCAGCCACTTCTGCCACTGGTGCGACTCTGCCTTTCT